GGAATTAGAAGATGTTTAGAAAGCATGACAAGTGAGGAAAGGCTGGTGACCTTGAGGTGTGGCCAGTCTCCAAGACTCAGCATGGTAAACTTCCTGTCTTTGGCATGGGAGAGGGCACCATTGCCCTGCTGCCCCATGCAGGTTACCTCTTAAATCAGAAACAGTCTCTTTCTCTGGAGTTTTTTAAGAACTGGTTAGACAAACACACTGTTGGGAATAGTATAGATATACTTGATTTTTCCTCTTTGCAGGGGTTGGAGTAAGTGATCTCTTGAGGTCCTTCCCACAGCCGCCTTCATTTAAGTGATTCTGTATGGCTCAATACTTGACCTGTCTTGTCAGAGGTGCAGTTTGGCCAGATATGCAAAGGATCTTGTAGGAGCTCTGCTTAGATGAGGGGTGAGCAAAATATGGCCCGCAGGTCAGATCCAGCCCACCAGGCACTTTCATATGGCCCACAGACACCCAGCAACAAATTGTACCCCACCCAGCCCTTTCCACAAGGGTGGGAGTGAGGTGTCCACTTATATTTCCCCCCCTCCCGCAACATACCCTATTGCACCTCACTCCCACCCTCCCTGGCAGAAGGGCCTGGCCCAGCCAGCAGCAGCTTCCAGGAGGGGTGGCTGCTGCTGCTGCAGCTGCCCTTGGGGGACCTGTTTGGCTTCCCTGGCATCCTGCTCGCTTTGGGTAGCAGGTGGGGCAGGGGTGGGGGAAGCTGCAGCTGGATAGGAGCAGGGAGCATGGGACTGAGCCCATGCTCAAGTGGGTGGTGGGAATGTGGAGCTTGGCTGGGCAGGGTATCGGTGTGAGGGAGTGTGGGGACCTCCAGACATTCCCCCACGTGGTGTGCAGCTGTGGGCAGCAGCAGCAGGCTGGGGCACTGGTGCCCTGCACAGGCACTGATGCCTGGCAGTGTGTGGCTCTGGCCAGCGCTGCATGTGAGGACGAGGAGTGCAGCCTGCAGCTCTCTTGTGGGGCCTCCATGCGGTGTGCCTGCAGCTCCCACACTTGCACAGCACCAGGGAAAGCCTTGCACTGGAGCTGATTGCCTTCCCCGCCCCCTGTCACGCAGGTCCTGGAACTCGATGGGGAAGCAGGGGCCAGGGCTCCCCTCCACTTCCGGCAGAGTCCTGGGACGTGCACGGCAGGGAGCAGCAAAGGCAGCCAGCTCTAGCGCAGGGCTTTCCACAGTGCCACGCGACTGGAGGAGCTATATGTGCTCAGCGTGGAGCCCCTGCAATAGAGGCAAGCCAGGCAGGCTGCGCTCCTTGCCCCCACACGTAGCAGTGGCCAGAGCTGCACGCCAGCCTGTGCTGGGCATGAGCACCCTGAGCACCACTGCCTGCTGCTGCTGCCCTCAGCGGGGCCTGCACACCATGTAGGGGACTGTGTGGGGGTCCCCACCCTCCCTCATCACAGAAACACACAACCCCCTGCCACCACAACCCCCCCACATATACACACACCCTGACATACCCTATGCCACCCCACACACAGCCACACCTCTTAGCAGCCCCCCCACAGCTCACCATACACACCCCCTCTCCCCAAGCACACCCCACACCTCCCCACACAATATAGAAGAATAAGACTTTATTTTTGAGTTAGTATACATTCTCCTCTATATACAGTATGCAAACACACATCATGACGTATTTCTAGGGGGGCAAGGGGAGGAACTTCCAGTGGCAAAGGTCAGGGTTAGGGGGCCAGGACTTCTGGTCCCAATATGGTGACCAGGGGGTGGGGCAACAGTCAAGGGGCATGGCTACTCATGCGGCTCTCGACAGCTCACCAAAACTTGTTAGTCAACCCTCCAGCTGAAATAATTGCCCACCTCTGGCTTAGACTCTTTAATGCAAATATAATACAACATGGAAAGGCTGCCCATGTCCCGGTTTGACATTCCTCAGCACTGAAATAGCTGATAGCACTGCAGGCCACCAGTGCATGGACACGGCAGATTGCTTGAAAGCCACCACTATATCCAGACAGGTACCAGGGCCCAGCTCTTTTTGGAAATGAGAGCAGCACGAGTGACGTAGGAGGTGGCATTACGAAGGAAGGATAGCCAGAGAACTAGAAGGCAAGTGGGACTTCCCAGTCCAATTCCCAACAGCACTGCAAGTTTTCCAGCATGTTCATGAGTGATGTTAGTCTTTCTGAGCTTTTTTTTTGTCTTGAAAATGGGGATAATAGTACTCCTGACTTCAGAGGGATTTTGTGAGGAATAAACATACTGGCTGACTTGGAGATGCTCTAATATGGTGTGAATGGAGGCCATGAAAGTGTTTAAGAATAGGGTAATTTTGTTTTTTCTCTTTAGCAGTTGTCCTGTAGCTTGTGGTAATTTTTTGATCTAATTTTAGAGGAGGCTTGACTAAGTGTTAGGGCATATGATTGGACAAGACAAAAAGTATTGGGGGAAGAGGAAGAGAAAGGGTGAGCTGATTTGAATAATAAAATAATAGGGATTGCTAATAACCTACAAGCTGTGTAAATAGGGTGACTTTCAAAAGAAATGGGTAAGAATTGGGAGGGGGAAAGAGAAACAGGAAGGGGGATCTTTTATTTTTTTTAAGTGAAACTTGAGTAAAGGTGACAAATGAATCAGTAAAGGGCAAGAGGCCATAAGCTGAACAACTAAAATGCGAAGGGAAAAAGCCCATACATGCATGCAACAAGTGGTGCCATACTAATCACTTTGTGTGTCATATCCCTTTTCTTACTTTTTCTTTTTCTGTCATCTTCTGTGGGTTTGATTCAGCAGCTGCTGTCATATTTTCTTTTATTCTTATGCTTAATCTAACAATGGGGCATCATATAGCTAATATCTATGCTCCTGTTTGCACAACTGAACCATTAGATTGTAAACTCTGGAGGGCAGTAACAGCTTTCCTTTGTGCCTGTACTTGATTGCCTGATTTGGCTCCTAATATTTGTCTGTGTTAATCAAATTAGGCTTTTCATCACAAATCTGTAGGTTTGATCTGTTTTGCAGTTGAGAAAACGGGCAACGAAAGAGTAAGCAATGAAGCTAAGCACTTGGAGTGAGTTAGTGCAAGAAATGGGGGAGAAACCCAGGTGCCATTGTTCTCAGCCATATGCCAGACAGTAGATAGATAAAAATATCTTCTCTGCACACTAATATGTATATCAACTTTAAAAACAATGGATGGCTGATTTATTTTATTTGTTGTCTTCCACATGCTAGGTGCTGTCCAGACTTGCATGTCCCAATTCCTGTCCTGGAGTACTTGCTGTCACAACCCAAGGGTGTGATTTTGTTTGCGCGCGCTTCGGCACTGCTAAATTATTTCCCGCCACTAGGAGCTTTCTTTGCAGGGTGCATTTCTTAGTTGCAAAGAGAAATGCACGGTGCAAAGGAGTTCCTGCCATTCGCATGCAAATTTGTGTCCCACTATTGGCCAGTTCTAAATTATTCCCACGTGGAGGCTAGTGATTGGCTTGCTAGCCATATAAAAGGCTTGAGCGGTTTCCGCCCAAGTTGGAGAACTCTGAGGAGAATCCCGCAAGGGAGGAATCCACAACCCTCTGGAGGAGGAGAACTTCACGTCTCGTGAAGATCTCTAAGCGCTGCGGAGCCTATCGAACCCAGTGTGTACCTTAAGAAGGCTACAGGGGTCTGATCAACCTCTGGCCTCTCCCCGTTGCCGAACAATCCCTCGACAAACCCCTTCCCTGCGCGCAAGTTCCACGGAGCCTAGCAAACTTCGTGTGAGTGTATCCAGAGCTCTCTGCTTCGAGTTGTTTTCTTCGGTTGACGCGACGGGCTCGCGTGTTTAGAGCCTTCAACCGGATTGGGCTAGAGGTTCGCGTGGAAGGAACTCTTGTCCGCCTCTCTTCTTTTCTATCTGTAACTGCAACCCAAGCAAGTTTTCCTGCCTGCACCGCGACCATCTTCGGTGTAAGTAAAATAATCTTTAATAAACTTCTCTTTGTGCGTGCCTAATTCTAGCCCGCCGGCCTGCATTCCCCGACCTGGCGTGTCCGGGCTGCTGGCCTCAGCCTGCCGCGCGCCCCCGAGGGCCTGGGACCGCTCCTGGTCCACACACTTGCAAGCAGAGAAGACCAGTATGGCAAATGCTGGGTAAAGGGTGTAGAAACATTCACTAAGAAAATTCAGCTGCCCCTTTCCATCCTTATTGGTATTGTTGTTTCTTGATCTGAGCCATTAGCCATTATGTGAGGCCTTGCCGGGGTGTTTCTATAAAGAAGAGAAACTGAGGATATAAATTAGTTGTTATTGTTGAACCTCTGTTTCTTCGCACCTCCAGTCTGCCTTTCTGGACCTTTCTTGAACACGATCAGGTATATAGAGCTGTGCTATTTAGCGTCCCAGCCCCTTCATTTGCATCCACTGTTAGTGAAACCCTCTTTACTTTCTGTTAGTTCTTGCTCAGGCTTTCCCCTGGGATCCAGTACCTTGAGTGGTGGCTTCTGTGTCAGGTATCTCTACTAAAGGAGCATTTGATTGCTTCCCTCTTTAACTCAAATGAATGATATCTAGGATGGCCACTCCTTTCTACAAGTTCTGTCATTTCCCATAAATCAAAGACGTACTTGCTGGCAGCTGGCAGCCTCTCCAGCACAGCAGTATCTAATGATATATGAACTTCACAGAGTGATCAGGGAAAGGATAGTTTCACTGCAGGCATGAGATCCAAATTGTTTGCTCATGGTTTATTAGAACTAAACTACAGAGACTTGTAATTTTACCATAATGACCCTAAGGACCAATCAGTGAGTACAATACACTCAGCAGGCAGGCGGACTGTGCCCTGCCCTAGGCTTAGTGTGACTGTCATTCTGAGCTGGTTAAGTCGTGTTGCGTGCCTGCTGCTGCCAGATGTTCTTTGCTGGTTGCTGCTGCTGATTTAGGCGCTGACTCGATACACCAATGACTATGTCAAAGGACACTGGAGACTTATTGGAAAGGTACGTACAGTATGGTGATTTGGATTTAAGGCAGTGCTGATTTTACATCTGAGATAAGATAGCAGGGAAACAGTGCAACCCACTGAAGCATGACTAATCAGTTTGTACAAATGTTCAGCCTTCTCCAGATTAATATAGCAGTGCACAAAAAAAATATTTTAAAGAAAATATATTTTGTATCATGCATAGCATGCTAATACCTTCAGTTAATGCAGTCTCAGTGCTTTAATCAGGAACTACATCTAATGCTCCTCTTTCCCCTGAGCATTGAGGGGGTGGGGGGCGGTAACTCCCATTGCTGTAGCTGCTGGAACTGAGATTTGTATCAATTACTCTGTTTTTAGAAAAGGTTCCAAGAGCATGGGACATCTGATGTGTACTTTGAACTTTTAGCCTGTTAGCCGTTTTATTTAAAAAAAAAAAAAAAAAAAAAAAAAAAAATCTTACCTTCTGTGGAGATAAACAGAGTCAGAAAAAAGATGGAAGACTTTAAACAGATGAGAGCATGTTTCAGATCAGTGTTAAATATGCTACTATTTTGGGAAATGTAGGTTTACAAAGGTATGTAATAAATGCAACCCTTGCAGCCTACAGATGGCAAAGTTCTACATTATTGCAATAAATCAGGCTCAGAGTGGGCTTGAAGGTGTATAAGTTATCCATGCATGATATTGTTTGAGACATAATGGCTCACAGGGATACTGGGGGTTAGTTAATCAATGTTTGTAAAGCACTTCGAGACTCTGGGGAGCAGAGTTGTATGCAGTGCCGGGATCGGTGATGACAGACTCTCATAAAATGTCTCTTTCAAGTGCTTGATCCTCATTCTTGAAACTGGAAACATCTCATGCTTCTCCCTCTCCTCTATAAAGATAGTTCTGGTTTTAAAGCAAATGATTTTGAAGTCCCTCAGTCGAAATGTCAGGGTTTGTTCTGAGCTCTGATGCTTTTCTTGTTAGGGTGGTATCGCTAGCATACTTTCTGGGATTTTTAGGTCTGTGTTTCTTTCAGTTTGGTAATTATGCATGTTGCATGTTAAGGAAGTAGCATAGATCCTGAGTCACAAGACAGTTTGATTTAGTTTACAGCAGCTGAAGTTGTGAGTAGAGGAGGAGAAAATAAGTCTTTACTACTTTCTATAAAACATAGAAATCAGCTTCTCTGCCACAGACTGATGACATCCAGTCTGTTTCCTTACAAACTGCAAAGGACCTGTGTTTCAGCTGCTCAGACATTGCCCAGGGTATTTCAACCTTGCCAGTGCAGGTTGTATTGTTCCTTCTGCAAGCTTGCCTACAACAATTCTCTCTCATGCTGAATTTTGGCTGGAAGTTTTCAGCTGGTCTGTATTATCTCCTTGCCAGTACAGACCTGCTTAAAACTCTCCTTGGAGGTCAGCCTGACACCTCAGGCCATAAATCTTTAAAAGAAAAACAAATGTGATCAGTGGAAAATGCTGAAATAGGCTTTTGATTATGAAGGGTAGTTGCTGGTTTTACACCTGTGTGCTTTCTCAGAGTTAGTGACACTTCCTTGTTCCCCAGGAGCAGCCATTTTAATTGATTTAAAATCAGTTGATTGATCTGATAGCTGTAATGGCTTAGTTCTTCCTGCTATCTTGTGGTCAGTGGCTGTACAAAGCATGGGCTATACATAATACAATCCGCAGCAGCAATGTATATAGGAGTTTCCATATGGCATCAGATCATGAATCCCTTTGGTCAAGCAATGACTAATACCTGATCTTCAACAAGATAGTGAAAAACTATCTAGCCAGAGGTACTGCATAATAATGCGGTGGTTTGTAAAATAATCCAGCCACGGTATTTGAAATTCTGATTCCACTGCTGCAGCAGCTTCCACAGGCTGATTGCCAGCTGTAGGAAGAAACACTTCCTTTATTTTCAGTATCTGTCATTCATTCCCCTGCGATTTCTTACCTTGAAACTTCTAGGCAAGGTAGAAGAAAAGATGTATTTTTTTTTTACTGTGCTTTTTCTGGTCTTCAGTATCTAAGAGATGGACTTGAACCTGAAACCTGGATGTAACCAGTCCCAAATTTAGGAAGAGTTCAAGTCTGGCTTCAGACTTTGTCACTGGTCATTTTCTCTTTGGACCAAACCAAAACCCTGTATCTGAACATCACCTAAACTTAGCAGAATGGATCTGTGTGGAGTCAGATCCGGCCTTTGTGCTGGGTGAGCAGAGGGTAAGAGCATGGTACATTTTCCACCTCTGGAGTAGGGACTACTTTGTAGCATCTTCTAATTCTTTCACAGGTGGCCCTGAACAGTGGTTCACCACCCATATGAAGAGTTGTGGCCTTGACCTTGATTCTTAGGATCTTGCAAAGTAATTTTCAAGAATTTCTTGAAATTCTTGAATTTCTGTGAATTTCATTTGGACCTGACAATGTCCTACTGGGAAGATGATGGATCTTTAGATGGTGATGCAGCATCTTTATAACAACAGGGAACCACATCAGGAGGGCACTCTCTTCATGTTACGGTCTACTGCAAAGGAACATAGTATTTTAGGACGGAGACCAACAGAAAATGGGGTGGGGGCACTTATACAGGAATAGCTAAGAAGAGGTAAATGCCTGTCTTTCCTTATGGCACATTTCCTACAACAAGGCTAGGGGGTTACTAGTTGTGCAGTGGATTAGTGAAATTGGAATTACAGTACATGTAAGGTGATAGTAGAGAAGTATGGGTAAGAGCTCAATAGAAGAGTAATTGAAATGGTCCATTTATCTGTTTCTTTTTCTTTTCTCTTTTTTCAACAGGTCATCTATGTCAGACCTGAATGTGGCCCTGGATGAATGTTCAGCTGCTGTGGATTTATTTCTAAGCAACAAGTTCCCTGATGCCCTTGCTTCTCTTCAAGCCAAGTGAGTTGACTGCTTTTATCATTTTTTTTTTCCTTGTTTCATTCATTTTTAAGTAGAATAGTTTAAGCAGGCTTTGGGCCAGTTCTCACTTAACTTTAAGGCACCCAAGCGGAATTCTATTCCAGGCTGTTCCAGTCCTTGAAAAACCATTAATGCTCCTGTGCGGGCCGCCTCCCGATCTCGTCCATGTCGCCATGTGCAAGCCGGGAGCGATATGCGGACCCGTTTTTGCGCACGTGGGCTGTGGCCAGCAGCCCGGGCACGCGGGGTCGAAGAAGACCGGTGGCGAGCTAGACTTAGTTACGGACGCGTAATGGTTGATTAAAAGATTGTTTACTTACACCAAAGATGGTCGTGGTGTAGGCTGGACAGTTTTCCAGGCTCAGCTCCGTTTAAGTCCTCGCTAGAGGACTCTGACAATTGACCCTGGAGTGGTTGAAGCTCTGTGGGTTCGGCTCGGTAATTGGCCCCGGAGTGGTTGAAGCTCTGCGGGTTCGGTAGTTTCAAAGGAAAGGGATACGTCTTAGGATTGTGCTCGGCAACGGGGAGAGGCTAGAGGCCGTTTGGCCCCCGGAGTGGTTGAAGCTCCGTGGGTTCGGTAAATAGGCCCCCGGAGTTGTTAAGACTCCGTGGGTTCGGTAAGTCGGTCCTCTATTGCCCTCTTAAGGAGAAAAAGAAGCTGGGTTCGAAGGGATTAGCAGCGCTTAGAAATCTTCACGCTCTTTCTCCCAAACTCCAATTGCTTTCTCTCTCTCTCTCTCCAACTTGGGCGGAAACCTCCCAAGCTCTTTATACGGCTAGCAAGCCAATCGCTAGCTGCCACGCATGCATAATTTAGGATCGGCCAATAATGTGGCGCGAATCTAAATACAAATGGCGGGAACTCCTTTGCACCGTGCATCACTATGATGCAAAAGAAATGCACCATGCAAAGAAGGCTATAAACTGGCGGGAAATACTGTTTTGCACGCGGGTTCTCTATTGCAGCAGAAAACTCTACCGTGCAAAGGAGCTGCAATTTGGCGGGGACATAATTTAGCGGTGCCGAAGCACACAAAAACAAAAAACCACAACTTTGGGTTGTGACAGCTCCCACTTCTGTATCACAAAAAGCAGCGAGGAGCATGAAGACGACTTATGTATCAATAATTTTGCAAGGTTTCAAGCAGAGTAGAATCGACCCACATTTAGGTATCTAATAGGTGGGTAAGAGCTGGCCTTTGGAGCACAAGATAAATACTTGTACTTTTGATCAAAGGAGATGGGAAAATAAAATCACTTTTTTTATGCCATGCATATGAAATGACTGAGAAGAGACAGTGTTTCTCTCTGGATGGCATGTATTGATCAGAAGTTTGAGTACATTGTGCAGCTTCCATGCCAGCATTGTCTCAGGAATGAAAAATCTGCGTTTGTTTACCAAGAACTGTGTAGTTTACCATGTGGTGCGGTCCTTTCAGTTGTGTTCGTGAATTGTTAGTGTTGTGCCCCTTCAAAAATCTGTTTGCTTTGCGGAAAATGAAGGAACTATCCTTTTGTGAGCAACATATGGAATTCTTAAACCTGAAACAAATATTTTTTCTCTTTCTTCTTTCCCAGTCAGTGTTTCTTGTCCATGCTGTTCCTCCTCTTTTTACTCTGCTTCCATTTCCTTCTCCTGCTGATACTCTTTTGAAGCCTTTCAGCTGATGGCTGCTTTTTTCCACTTATTTCTTCAGACCTTCTATTATTATGCTTCTCCTTTTAATGATCTTCATCCATATTAAATTCCTACCCAGCACCTTTTTCTTCTGTCAGACCTTTCCATGGCAATCTCGCATCACAAGCAGTAGAGAGAGAGATTTTAAAACAACCAAGTGTCATCTTTTGTGAGTAGTCCTTACACAGGCTGTGATGAGAGAGGTAGGTTGCAGGGGCAAGCCTAGCTTCATCAGTTGCCATTGATGTAACTATGTGAGCACATGCTCTGAGTATGGACAGAGAGCCATAGCTTGCATTCAGTGACAGGAAAATAGGAATCACCATACCAGATGAGATGCAAGGTCCAGCTACTCCAATATTATGTCTCTGACATTAGGCAATGGAAGTTGCTTCAGAGGAAAGTGTATGAACCTAGCAGTAGGCAAATGTGAGTTAACTGACCTCTCATGTTGGGTATTATCTTAATCACTTGCTTAAGTCCTGCAATGTAAAGTCTAATATCCTTTTCACCAATATGTCATTATTGATTGTGGTAACTCTGGAGACTTGACATCTCTATAGCTATCATTTTTTTTTGTTGAATCTCATAAGGTTCTTGGCCTCAGCGACTTCCTGTGGCAATGAGTTCCACACTTTTCTAACATTTCTTCATTCATCAGTACCCTGTAGTGACCCTGATCTGTTGAGTTACAGATTATCTGGGCCTGGCTTATAGAATTGAAGGACCGGAAGGGACTTGCAAGATCGTCAAGTCCAGTCCCCTGCCATGGGTAGGAAGTTATTGGGCTCAGACGAGCTCAACAGGGTGCTTGTCCAGCCTCATCTTTAACACCTTCAAGGATGGTGACTACACCACTTCTGCTGGGAGTGTGTTCCAGATTCTGGTGACCCTTACAGAGAAGTTTTTTCTTATGTTCAACCTGAATTTACCCTCTACTAGCTTGTGCCCACTGGTCCTTGTCCTCCTTTGAGGTGCCTTCCTGAAAAGTTGCTCCCCTAGATCTTGATGCTCACTCCTGATGTACTTGTAGGAGGCTATCAAGTGACCTCTCAGTCTTCTCTTACTCAGACTGAGCAGGCCCAGTTCTCAGAGTCTTTCCTCATAGGGCCTATCTTCCATGCTCCTAATCATGCACGTGGCCCTTCTTTGAACTCTCTCGACCTTATCCACATCCTTCTTAAAGAGTGGTGCCCAGAACTCGATTCAGTACTCCAGCTGTGGCCTCACCAACACCCAGTAGAGGGGGAAGAGCACCTCCCTGGATCTGTTGTCAACACAGTGGCTGATGCACGCCAGAGTTCTATTTGCCTTGCTGGCATCCTCATCGCACTGTTGGCTCATGTTCATTTTGTGGTTTATCATGACCCCCCAGGTCTCGTTTAGATGCTGTGCCAGCCAGTGGACCACCACCCACTGTGTAGCTATGGTGAAGGTTCTTCCTACCCAGATGAAGAACCCTGCACTTGTCCCCGTTAAACCTCATCTGATTCCATTCAGCCCATAAAACCAGTCTGTCAAGGTCATCCTGGATCCCTATCCTCTGATGTGCTTAGTAGCATCTGCAAACTTAATCATTGAGCTTTTCACCCCCTCATCCAAGTCATTAATAAATACGTTAAAGAGCACGGGTCCAAGCACCGATCCCTGGGGGACGCCATTAGAGATGGCCCTCCAGGATGAGGCCATCCCATCGATTACAACTCTTTGGGATCAGCCACAAAGCCAGTTGTCCACCCACCTCACTGTAGACTGGTCCAGCCCAGTACCCTCCAGTTCGGTTGAGAGAATCCTGTGGGAAACGGAATCAAAGGCTTTACTGAAGTCTAAGTAAATGACATTGACCTTGTGTCTCTCATCTAGTTGGTTAGTTACTTGGTTGTAGAAGGACACCAGGTTTGTCAGGCATGATCTACCCTTGATAAAGTCATGCTGGTTGCTTCTTGATACCCCATCAGTTACCAGCTTGTGACTGATGGCTTCCTTAACAAATTTTTGAAAATTTTTTCTCAGGACCAAAGTCAGACTGACCGGTCTGTAGTTTGCAGGGTCCATCCCTCTTCCCTTTCTTAAAGTTAGGCACCACTTTGGCCCTCTTCCAGTCATCTAGGACCATTCCTAAGTTCCATGACTCTTTGAACAGCTTTGCCAGTGGCGCTGCTATAAGCTCAGCCAGTTCTTTCAGGGCTCTCAGATGCAGGTCATCTGTCCCAGCAGACCTGAAAATGTCCAAGTGTTGTAGGAGATCCCTCACCTGCTCAGGACTGATTTCATGTAGTCTGTTGTCTTCCTCATATTCCTTGGGCCTCTGGTTGGGTCAACAGCCCCCATTTGATTTCAGGAATACCGACATGAAGTATGTATTTAGGAGTTCTACCTTTTTGCGGGGATTGACTGTGGGCTGCCCCTCAGTATTTGGTAGGGCTCCCAGAGTGGAGCCTGATTTTTTTTTTTTTTTTTTTTTTTTTTCTTTCTTTCTTGCTCCTTGTGTATCTATAGTGGGACTTTTTGTTGTCCTTTATTTCAGTTGCCAGCTTGATCTCCATGCCTGCCTTGGCTTTCCATGTTTCATGTCTGCAGACCTTGGCTATGTAGGTGTATTCCTTTCTGGTTGCTGAACCATTCTTCCATTGTTTGTTGTAACAAGCGGGCATCCCGGAGCCGATCTCAAAATGTAGGCTAACCCACTTGTCTTGTGGCTAGCTGCCCACCTCCTCGTCTGCCATGCCTTGATGTTAACAATTACAATAATGTTACTCAGGTGGAAGGCTGCCTGTTTATCTGCCCTGATGACAAGGTGATATATATACGACTCCAACCTCCCTTTACCATATTCCATGCCTTGTAGATGTTCTGTGGCCTTGCACCCAGCCTTAACCAATTATCCTAATATACTTAGTGCTCCTAGGCCCCACATTGGACCTCTGAGCCTGCACACACTGGGCATCTGAGCCCTGTTGATGGGATCAGGGCTCTGAGCCTTAGCCTGAGCCTCCCTGCGCCTGAGCCTGGGAGCTTCCTTGTCCTTGAGCCTGGGAGCTTTCTTAATAGCTCCCCAGGACTCAGGGCCCCACCCCACAGGAGCTTTACCTGGCTCCCTTGTGACCACAGGCTCATTTGTGAGCCTGGGTGCTGCCACAGATCCCTCCACCTGGCCTGTCTCTTGCATCAGTGCTCGCAGTGAGCCTGGGCTCCCCCTGTACAGATCTACAGCCACCATGGATGTGCAGCTGGGGTTAGAAGGTTCCCCATACTCGCCTTTCACCAGGGCGGTAACTGGCCTGGCATTTCTTGGGGACCG